ACACATACAGCTGGGGTTCCAGAGGCCTCCGGACTGCCGCTTGAGTTGAGTCTTTTGCTTCTCCTTACCGAAGCTCCCTTCATCCCATGCCCTCCTGCTCCTGTTCCGTCTGGGGTCGCCAAGGAGCAGCATCTCCAGAGGAAAGGCTGCCACCGAGTCCCCGCCACATTGGATGTACACCCGGGCTCCTGAGGTCCGACTGGCGTTGGACAGAAGAAAGCAGATGGTGACGATTAGGGCGCTGAGAAGTTTCCCTCTGGGATTTTGAAACCTGGGAAGGGGAGCGGGGCCCGGCAGATGGGATCGTCCTGCCAAGGGACTCAGGGTGAGAGCCCAGAACCCAACAATTTGCTTCTTGCGGGTGGGAAGGGACGCAACGCCCCGCATTCTGAGGGCAGACATGAAGCTGCGACCACCTCGCCCAGCGTTGTGTTTGGAGCAAACCTGGAAGAAAAAGACTCCGTGGCGGCCTGCCTGGAGGCATATTGAGGGGTGGGGGTGTTTTCTCTGTAGTTCTCACTCCCCCACCCCTCCTTCTGCTGCTGCTGGGTAACAGAGAGAGGCGAAGTTCTCAAATTAGAGGAGTTATCCTAACACAGTAATCATCACGACTACTGGTCCATACCTTGAGGGCTCGGCAGTATGATCTTCCCGGTGCTTCCAAAAAAAAAAAAAAAAAAAAAAAAAAGGGCAGCTCAACAAACCTCTCCCCACTGAGCCCTAATGGCCTAATGGGGAAAAGCCTTGGCTCAGGCAGAGGACACAGCAGAATGGGGAACCTTAGCAAACACGAGGGAGTCTTTCCAGGAAATCCCTCTCCACCACGGCAGCTCCTTTGAAAATCCATCAACAAACAAACCTCATCCACAGACAGATCTCAAAAGCCTAGGGAGAACTGAGGCAGGGGTAGGAAGTAGAGGATAAACTGGGGGCAGAGGTGAGGGACAAGTTCTAGGCAAGCGGATTATGTCACATTCCCTCCTATTACCAGACTTCCAGGAGGAGAGACCTCGATTTGTGCATAAAATACATAGACTGAAGTGGATAAGACTGTGAAAGCAGCATTTGAGGAGGTTAACCTTGACTGGTTGGAGTTAAAGGAGGGGGGAGGCAAATATTTCTGTTTGTGCCCTCCGGCTCTTCCCAGCACCGGCTGTCAATCCCAACGCTTGTTATCCTCACAAGGCTTCAGTTTGTTTGCTTGATCTCAGCAAGGTTTTCTTCCACAAGTAGAACTATAATTGCTATAATTCTACTGTATCATTTGGATCATTGCAGTATTGTTGTTTTCTCTCCCTCTTTCTCTCCTCCTAACACTGCAATAACGCGCTCCAGTGTTAAATTAGCAGGTTGCGGAAGACCATAAATGAATGAAAGTTTGTTAAAAAAAAAAAAAGGAAGAAAGAAATTAAATAAATAAAACAGCAAAATGACTTGGCAAAGGGGATATCACATCACAGAGAATCCTTGCGTGTAATCAGGACTTATTGTCTTCTCGTCCAATGGCTTCCAAATTGGTCGCCAGACTCCAATGAAGTTTATTTCTATTGTTTAAATATATGTTTTGAAGAGGTTGAGCATAATTTAAGGGGACTTGAGGCATCCGGTGCGACTGGAAACCCATTACAGCTTTATTTATCTATGTGTATATTGCACAATAAATTAAAACATCACAAATGGAAAGTGTGTGAGGTTAACTCTTCTCCAAACATCCCCCCCATAAAGACATCTAACTGCCACTCCTTTATGTATTTCTTGCAAATATAATTTTGAAACTACAATGTAGAATTAGTTTTCTCACCACAGGAAGAAAGGGGTTTCTTCTCCTCCTGTAGGTAATTATTATTTCCGGTTCTAGGACGAGCCCCATTTTTCACCAGAGAAAACAGGTTTGACCACTTCTGACTCTCACTTCCAGCTATTATTGTCATTTTTATTTTAATGATTGATTTTAAAACCAGATGAACCAGAAATCATTGTTTTTCAAGCAGCCCAGGGAATCCAAACCAACAGTTACAGACCTCAAAGATTAAGAGAGCCAGGAGTTATTAGCAGGAACATACAAACGTTTTAAAAATGCTATCACTAAAATGAAATGACTTTTGATTAGTGAGTAAAAGAAAGTGAAAAAAGTGAGGCGAAAAGTGCCATTTTGCTTGCAGAGTGAATAATAAATTGGGCTAAACTCTGTTCCATTATACATACATAGTCCTACAGTCCAGTTCTTAAAAGTCTACGTATTCAGCATGCCAATTAAATTCTTCCTAGATATTAGAAGCATCATTTCCTAAAATGACATATAGGGTAGGCATATTTTAAGCCCACATCCTAACTAGACTCTGTGGAGACGCCATTAGACTTTGTCTGCCCCATCGGGGCCTTACAAAAGTTTTCTATAATTAAAAAAAAATCCCTGGGGGATAGAGTCAGTTGTAGATTCCGAAGTTGGGTATTGAATCATGGCAAATCTTGGGGTTGCTAGGTGTAGAGTGCTCTAGATCTCCCCAAGTTGAATAAATGTGCCTTCTTTACTTGGGAAGATGGATGAGAAACTACTAAAAATAAAATAAATAAAGTACAGAACAAAGAAGACTGGAGTTTGCAAGCGAACTTCCCAAAGAAACCCTTTATATTCCATTAAGAGAATTAGATTTAATTCCAAGGATCATTAAGTCAGAATCAGAAATTCTGTGTTAACCTCCCCCTTTACAGTGGATGATTAAAAATAGAATACACCCCCAGTAGAAAGTCCGACTTCTTTTAAAAGAAGAACAGCTGCAGAAGGGAGAGGAGGGGGTTGGAGGCGAAGATGTCTTCCACCCAGAGGTTGAAACCCCTTTGGGCTCTCAGAAATGATTTGTGCATTTATGTCTCTTTTTGTTTAACACGATCTTTCTTGGACTCATTTTCAACCCACTCCCTGTGTGTGCGGAGCCCACTCTGAAGACACGGAGCCACCCGGCAGCCGGGTCTTGTGGATTTCCGACTCGGGGCCCGCCAGGGAGGGAAAAGTGCTTCTGTGTCTCCCAGTCCCCAGCCGCTGGGACGCCGGCGATGGTCGGTGGCTGGCAGCTCAAGGGAAACCGTTGCCTCTTGGCTGCTGTGAGATCAACTTAGGATGGGCTTTCCGGCCAGGGAGGGAAAGTGTCGGGGGAGGGGGGTGAGCAAAAGTAATGTTAGTTTAAAACCGGATGAGACAGTATAAAAATACTCCAAAGTGAGGATGAAAACAGAACTTAAGAAAGGCAGAAGACTATCCTGGGTACCTAGGAATGACAGAGGGACATAAAAGAAAATCAAAGGTCAAGATAGTTCTCCTCTACTGCACCCCTATCATCTCAGTGTTAGAAATCGTGTGAGAATTCAACTAAAATACTGGAGAGATGGAGGCAGAGAGGGACAGAGACAAATCCTTTTTCGTGTTGCCTTAATTAGTAGTAGTAGTAGTAGTAATAGTAGTAGTAGTAGTATAGCATTTAGTACTAGTAGCATTAATGTGCCTGTTCCCAGCCCTTCATCTGGCTCAAGTTGTGTTGAGTGGTCCTGACAAGGCAGCCCGATCTATCTGCCACCCACCCACTAGCATCCAAGAGTTAGGCAGATGTTTATGGCTAGGGAAAAAAAATCCCAGTTATGCATCCATGTATTTTTAAATACTGACTGTAAGTGATTCAAGTATAATCCTTTGTAAAACGCTTTTCTCTTTGACACATTGGAGGGGCTGAGAGAGGAAAACCTGGCGTGGATTCCTCTTCCCTGACCTCTCTCTCACCCACCACCCTCACCCACCCCCACTCCACAATTGTCAAGGATCTAGCTGTCCCTTGGGGCCCTGAACCAACTCAAGCAGTGAGGGTGTCCGTGGAGGCCCCTCTGCAGGGCTCAACCCAACTTCAGAGAGGGTGGGGTGTTAATTTCTAGCGTTAGACACGCAGGGAACTGTTTGGGAAGAAACTGTCTCTCCATAAGGCTCTCCTCCCTCACCTTCACTAGTGGGAGGTAGGTCATAGAATTCCTAATTTTAGGCGTTTTGACTTGGTTCAAGATGAATGTCTGTTGGGTCCCTTCTGCCCTAGGGAGCTCAGAGCACACCCCTGCCCTTTGGTTTTGCACCTCTGGCACTACTCTAGGGTGAGCTCCTTAGTCCCTTTCTGACCTCTGGATGCACCAGGGGAAGGCTGTGCGCCTTAGACAGAGCTTTGCTTTTAGCGAGCCTTTTCTCATTCCAGAGTTTAAAATGGAGCTAGAGAATGATAGAAGCCGACATTAACAAGAGAGGAACAGCTAAGCTCAGAGTGAAGACAAGGAGGGCAAACCTCTGGGTTCTGAGAGAAAACCAAACACTCAGACAGCAGATGCTTGCCCCTGGTAGTCAGAGGCTCATCAGTCCTAGACAGAATGTAGACTGTACAGAGCTGAGGTCAAGGCGCCATCAGAGCAGGACAAAGTCGGTTTTGCAAAGTGACAAAGCAATCACATATTGAGCCTTACAGCTTGCCTGCAGGGAGTGAGGTCCTCTGGAAGGTGGAACAGGCGCCCAGAGCCCAAGTAGCATCCATAGGCCTGGCATCCAAATGAGCTAGAGCTCTGGGACAACCTAGACTTAAAGGATGAACTGCAGGAAAACGAAGGCAAACTTTGAAAAGTTGGTAGTTTTAAGAGAGAGAAAACAGAGCAAGAAAGAAAAGGAGAAAGAAAGAGAGAGAAAGAGAGAAAGAGAGAAAGAAAGAAAGAAAGAAAGAAAGAAAGAAAGAAAGAAAGAAAGAAAGAAAGAAAGAAAGAAAGAAAGAAAGAAAGAAAGAAAAAGAAAATTGACTCTGGTACGTGTCAGCTGCTATTCCTCCCCACCCCACCGCCAACCCCCTCCAGCCCCTCCAGAATCCAGTTCGGGCTTTGCATAGCTCCGGCAGGCCAACGCTGCCCTGCCTCTGTCGCGAGCCAATCACAGAGCTCCTCTCAGCACGTGGAGGAGAGAGACTCCAGAGCTCTGAGCCCGCGGCTCACTACACTTGTTACCGCTTGTCCTGAGAGCGGAGAGGGCGAACTCCGGCTGAGGGCAGGGTGGGAGCCGGCAGCCGGCAACTGAGTTAGACAGAGAGGCACAAAGATCGCCATAATATCCGTTATAACCAGCCATCCAAACGACCCCCAACACACACTCATCCATCCCGCCGCCAGGAGAGGCAGCCAGAGTCCGCTCTCCAAGCCAAGGGAAAAAGCCCCAGCCATGAGCAATCAGTACCAGGAAGAGGGCTGCTCCGAGAGGCCAGAGTGCAAAAGTAAATCTCCAACTTTGCTCTCCTCCTACTGCATCGACAGCATCCTGGGCCGGAGAAGCCCATGCAAAATGCGGCTACTAGGAGCCGCGCAGAGCTTGCCTGCTCCGCTGGCCAGCCGCGCTGACCAGGAAAAGGCCATGCAAGGTAAGACTGTGCCCGTCAGGCATCTGCAAAAGGACGTTGGGCACTGCTTTGAATGTTTGATGTTTGGGGACCACCGAGGGCCTGGGTGTTGTCATGGTGGAGACATAGGAAGGAGAGGTGACAACTCTGGAGCCTGGGGCCTTAGACAGAGATGAACATTTCTCCAAGGACTGTCTGTCCCTCCCCATCTGCTTCTAGAAAAAGCAGAAGCCCAGCTTCGCTTTGAGGGGATCCCTGGATATTCGGTGTTGGTCGTTAGGTAGTTAATAAATCCCTTTTGGTGGCCTTGAGTGTGCTCTGAAAAGTGCTGATGGGTCAGAAGCAGCAAATACCCTCTTAAAGCCTTCTAGCAACAACTTGACGAGGACAAGAAACCCCAAAACCTGGGGAATGGGGGGTCTCCAGGCAGGTGAACCCTGGCCTTTCCTTTTTGGAAGATTTCTTTATACGCGGTGTTTTGCGTTTCTTTTTCTTTTTTAAGTGTACACTGCTGGTGACCTTTCAAACTCAAGCTTCGCAGAAAACATTTCCTCGGGGTTCCCCAAATGCTACTTATTGTATTTGAAATGCATGAAACGTGTGGCTTCTGGGCGCTCTTTTTCCTCTCTCTCTCTCTCTCTCTCTCTCTCTCTCTCTCTCAGAGCTGAACTGTTCAGATGTTTGGAGGGTTTTATTAAAAATTCCAGAACAACTATCATTCCCCCCACTCCAACCTCTTATGGTCAAGTTTTGCCTTGAGCTGGAAACAGAAGAGAGTTGCAGGGAAAGAAATGTTGGTTTCTTTTAAAATCCTAAAATCAGTCAGTGATCCAGCTGCAATGCCATCGGGAAGCCAGGAACGAAAGGCCGAGAATGGGCCCTTCAAAATAAAATAGACGTTTTTCTTTTCTTTTTCTTAGCTGCAATGGCACCTGTACCAGGCGCGTCTTCAAAAGGAGCGGCCTGTGCCTGTTGCACCTCACACCCCATGTCCTCACTTAGGTCTTTCCTAGTATATTTTCACCAGGATGGCTTTTTTTTTTCTTCGCCTTTTGGGCAAGGGATCCTTGTTCTCTGCGGCTGTAGGCTCTTGGGACATGGCCATAGCTCTGGCTACAGGGACGCTTCGCCCCGCAGGGGTCGCCCGCGGGGCAGCACCCCTCTTATCAGCCTGGGGCCTTGGTGATTGAGCAGGAGGCAGAGGTCGAGCTCGAAGTTTTCAGAGTAGTGGTAATTTTTTTTAAAGTTGCTAAGTGTTTTTTTTTTTAATTCGCCCCATCCCAAAATGAAGAGAAGAAAGGAAAAAGAAATGAAAGAAGGAAAGCTAGAGGGCAAGTGGAAGCATGCAAAAACAGAAAGGAAGGAAAGGAGACTGGAGGCGAAAGAGAGGAGGAAAGGAACGGAGTGGGGGAAAAGTAAAAGAGGAGGAAAGAAAAATAAAAGGGAGAGGGGGAGAAGGGTGGGTAAGAAAGGAAGGAAAAGGGAAATAACGGGCAGAATGAGAAAGGAAAGAAAGAAAGGAGGAAGGAAAGGGGGAAAGAGGAGAGCGCTAGAAGAGAAGAGAAAAAGAAGTGTGGTGAGGAGGTGGCACCGGGAGCGTTCCTGGGCCTAGGCACGGAGGAGGAACCGCCGACCGGCTCCAGACAGCGGTTCTGGCCGGGACAGCCGGGCCGGCTCACGCGCTGACCACTCTCCCTTGCCCGCAGGCTCCCCCAAGGGCAGCAGCGCCCCGTTCGAGGCTGAGCTGCACCTGCCGCCCAAGCTGCGGCGCCTGTACGGCCCGGGTGGGGGCCGCCTCCTCCAGGGCGCGGCGGCAGCGGCGGCGGCGGCGGCGGCGGATCCTGCTTCTCCTCTCGCCCGACGGCGCGGGGGCCGCGGTGGCAGCCGCCGCCGCAGCCGCCGCCGCCTGGGACACACTCAAGATCAGCCAGGCGCCGCAGGTGAGCATCAGCCGCAGCAAGTCGTACCGCGAGAACGGGGCCCCCTTCGTGCCGCCGCCGCCCGCGCTGGACGAGCTGGGTGGCCCGGGGGGCGTCGCGCATCCGGAGGAGCGGCTCGGTGCGGCTGGAGGTCCGGGTAGTGCCCCAGCGGCGGGTGGCGGCCCTGGCGCCGAGGAGGACGAGGAGGAGTTGCTGGAGGATGAGGAGGATGAGGATGAGGAAGAAGAACTGCTAGAGGATGAGGAGGAGGAGCTGCTGGAGGATGATGCCCGTGCGCTACTCAAGGAGCCCCGGCGCTGCTCGGTGGCCGCCACCGGTGCGGTGGCCGCAGCTGCCGCCGCCGCCGTGACCACCGAGGGCGGGGAGCTGTCGCCCAAGGAAGAGCTGCTGCTGCACCCAGAGGACGCCGAGGGCAAGGACGGCGAGGACAGCGTGTGCCTGTCGGCGGGCAGCGACTCAGAGGAGGGGCTCCTGAAGCGGAAACAGAGGCGCTACCGCACCACGTTCACCAGCTACCAGCTGGAGGAACTGGAGCGGGCCTTCCAGAAGACGCACTACCCGGACGTCTTCACCAGGTATGCTGCGGTGCGGGGATGGTCTCTACCGCCGTGGCAGGAGGGCTCACGCGAGTGGAACAGAGGGCTGGGGGCGGGGGTGGACAGGGGCCGAGCAATCTTTTTGCACGAGGGCGCTGCCCTGGATACACCTTGCGAAACAAGAACCTTTGGCTAACCAAAAACTGCCCACCCCCCAACACACACACACACACACACACACACACACACACACACACACCACTTAGGCATTAAAGTTTCATTTCGTGGGGTTTCTTTCTTTCCTAAAGCCCTTCTAATTTCATGTTTCCAAATCACAACTTTGTTAGAGCCAAACAACATCCCCAAAGAACGCCCCAAAGAGCCATTTTAGGGAGCCGGGCGCGCAGGAACTGCTCTTGGTGCTATGGCCTGACCCAGGTCCTTGCCAGGCCCAGGAAGCACCGCCCGAAGTGCCCCCTTGTGGGAGCACTGCAGGGGCTATTTTTGACTTGTGTACTGTGCGCTGTCCAGTCCCCCCACCCCACCCCACCCCCGCCTCCCCCTGGCCCTTGGAGTCTGGTGGGTATCAGTTACACTCTGAGAGCAGGAAAACTGGAGCCAGTGCCTGCGGAGAAGGCCTTTTAAAAGATCATCCGAGCTTTTGTCACTTAGGGATTCCTGAAATAACCGAAGGAAGTCAGAACCCAGAGTAGTGTTTGGTGTCTGTACACCTGAAATGCACCAGTCAGAATCTCCCCTCTGGTCTCTCTGTCCCCACCTACCCAGACCCCCTTGTACCTAGCTTGACTTTACTATAAACGGGATGATGCGGTGGACCATGATTTCTGGAAACTTGACAGAGAGTGAATCAAACAGCTGGGGTGGGGGAGTTGGTGGGGCGGGTGGGGAGTTTGTTTCTTGGACCAGGGGCCAAGCCCTGTATGTATGGTGACATTCCATGTCCCAGTCACTCGAATTTTTCTGGGAAACGTGTGGGTGGGGTAACTGAGCCTCTGTTAATTAAGCCGACCTGGGGTGCCAGCGGCTGGGTGCTTTTCCCATTCTCAAGGCCAAGATTTTGGCTCTACCTAGGGGCCAGGGTTAGTGACAGGAGAGTGAGAAGAGAGAAAGAGAGAAAGAGACCGTTAAGTGCCTGGCCCTCGGCTTGTCAAGCCGGCAGCTCCTTCGCAGGAGACGTGTGCAGCTTTTCAATGTGCCTTTTAGAGAAGAAAGCTGCCTGTCCTTTTGAACTAGAGGAAAAATCTCTGCTTAGGACTCAGAAGGTCTGAGCCTACTTCAAGACATAGTTGGTCTGGCAATTACCAAACTGTTGTAGGCAGAAGCAACCAAAGAGTGAATTTAATGCAGGCAAGGGCACTTAAAATTTGCTCACCCCTTGAGCTAAACTCGGTCTTCCTCAGTTCACAGCCTTTTCCAAATCTTCGAAAAAGGAATAAACTTCAAAATCAGCACGTGCTATCATATTGCTAATAGCTAACTGGACAACCGACTTTTTTTTTTCTTTTGCGTTTATCTGACACGTGTACTTAAAAAGGAGCTGGTGTCGCTTAGCATCCAGGCCGCCGTTACACCTTGAAGGGGAGACCAAAGTACAAGACCAGGGGCCCTCTCCTCCCCACCGCCCCACCCCCACCTCTTTCAAGCCCTGCAGTCTTCAGAGCCCCTGGGCTGCAGCCCAGAGGGCAGGGAGTGCCTCTTTAGATTTGTTGGTGCTCAAGCGGGAGTGGGGGGTGGAGAGGGGAAGGTGTTTAGTGAACTGATTTTTCTCTTGGTGCTGAAAGTTTCAGGTGCCCATCCGGGCCTGCCGGCAGGGCAGACCCGGGCCCCAAGCTTGGGGAGCCCACGCTCTTTCATATTAGCAAACAGACAGCCAATTATTCTCGGTGCGCTCATATTTTCGGTAAACAGGTTGTAAGCCGTTTTACAGGATCTTAATGGTTTCCTATTTGCCTTAATTGTTGCAGTAATAACTGCAATAACGGGGTAGGGTTTCAGCTAAATTGACTTCCCCTGAGATGGGCAGGGTTTGTAGTGGGCACTGGAGTCAGGAGGTGCACAGAATTTTGTTTAATCGAAAAATTACCCCACTGAACTCTTAACAAGCTTAACACATCTCCAGAGGGTAATGGGGAGTGTGACCTAAGGAGGGGGGGAGATGGAGGAAAGGCAGAGAGCTGGAAAGAGGGGCTAGAAGGAAGAGGGGAGAGGTTTGGGGTTTTTTGTTTTGTTTTGTTTAAAAAAAAAAAAAAAGGCAAAAGGAAGCCAAGAGGGTAGAAAACAAAATTCTTAGTCGAGCGCAGAGCTAGTATTAGGACAAAACAGGGCATAAGCTCTGATTATGGGTGTTTCTTACCTAGCTCTGGTCTAAGAGTGAGGGAGAATTCATTTGTCCAGGTTTGTGATCTATGGACCCAAGAATCCACCTGTCACACTCTATGATATGACATAACATATTTTATATACGACAATGTTCTGTGTTTTTATGGTTTCAGTGGAATAGCAGACACTCCAGAGGCGAAGAGAGTCAAACCCATGTACTTGGGGATGGGGGACTGGAAGAGGCTGCCATGGAGGGGAAGGTGGCTGAGAGAGGGCTGCTGGGGCCTACTGTGACCTCCTCTTGGTGTTGCTTTCTTCTAGGGAGGAACTGGCCATGAGACTGGACTTGACTGAGGCCCGGGTCCAGGTGAGCTCCAAGCTGGGAGGGAAGAAGGGGAGGAAGGCTAAGGACAGTGAGTGTGTGTGTGTGTGTGTGTGTGTGTGTGTGTGTGAGAGAGAGAGAGAGAGAGAGAGAGAGAGAGAGAGAGAGAGATTGAGCCACCCTTCATATAAAAAGAAGAGAATCCAAATCTGAAAAGTAGACGCAAGCACTCGCACACAAAAAGATATTTCAAAAGCAAGTCACAAACCGTGAGATGGGAGGGGAAGATTTCTGGATTTGGAAGCTTAAGGAAGCAATCCAGGATCAGAACAGGGGTTTTCTGGTCCCAGAGACTTCAATTCAGCAGCCACTGGTCCCAAGGCCCCTACAGAAAACAATCCACCAGCCGACTTCTCCTGATTGAAGTAATAGGATGGAGCATGGATTTGGTTGTTAGACAAATCCGCTCAGCTCCAAGCAGGTATTTGGCTGCGATTAAGTCTCCAATTGGGCTTCATAAAAGCCCACTTAGTGCTAGAACAAACAGGGCCATTTGAAGGCAAAATGCTGTTTGATTTCCCCTCCGCCCCGCACAAGGAGCTGGCTAATGCTATTTGATTTCCCATTTTTTATAGCAATGAGCCCACATTGATCTAATAGGGAGTGAGTGCAATGCTATTAAAGGTGTTTGCAGCCCCATACCAGAGTGCATTTCCGAACCCAGGCCTCATAACCAAAGAGACGATCAACACTGCGCAGCCCCAATGGCCAACAGAAAACAGATGTCCCCGGGTTAGGAGCTGAGTGAATCACTTTACAGTCAAAATCAAGCGCTGATAAAGCACAATAAATTCCATATGGCTCATTTAATACACAACAGCTTCTTGCATTAGAGGGCTAATGATGAGGCTTGTCCCCTCCTTTCTGTTGACACATTTCTCCATTGTCAAACAGAGATGTGACAGCAACTCCACATTTTCAGCTCAGGGGAACAAGTCGTGGGAAAGTTAAATAACTTTTAAAAAGAAAGAGAGCACCCCCTCCCCTTCTCCTCTCCCCCCTATTCATCGAAGTAGATGTAATTAAGTGAATATGAATTATCAGAGTTCTTTCGTTTACCTTTGGGGGCCTCAGAGGTATTAATTCAATAATGAGGAATTGCAGGGGACATCTTGATAATTGCAGTTGAGCCAGAGAGCTAGAGAGACAGACAATCTCTCTGTAGAAAGATTCCATGTTATTTAAAGCCTTTCTGTCTCCACAGCCCCCACTTCCCTTCATTTATCCCTTTCCCTACCATCAAGGAATGGTGGATATTCTTGTCTAGACAGATTTGGAGGCATGAAAGCTGCCTGCCCAGCCTGATCTAAGTACAGTCTAACTTTTTCAAGCCTCTGAGTTTCCAAGCTGGAGCTTTTCTATAACTCACACATTAGATGACTTGAAGGCTGCTGAATGTTAGGGTTCCTTTCCCCAGAACTTTAAGTCATCAGCTAATTTGGATTCTTGATTTTTCTTGCCCTGGATGGCTGTCTAGAAGTCAAACCAAGCTTAGTTGTTAATTCCAGTCATAACAACTCACTCCCCTCCAGGCTGGATATTTGAAAGATCTGAATGTCTTTAAATTTTTTAAAAAGATATTCCTTTGGGATAATTGACATTATATTTTAGTATAACTCGGTATAGTCCTAGAGTTCATTCTTAATTTTTAGACTCATGTGCAGTCATAAACTCAGCCCTAAAAATATTAATGCCTTCAGGGGAGAAAGAACATAGCTTCTGAGCTGTGGGAGTGATGAGCAGGTCACATACAAATCATTTCACGCTCTTGGGGGTTATTTTTAGATGTTTCAGGTAAAGGGCCCTATTCAAACTGCTTCTTATTAACAATTAGGAAAATACCTTTGGCTGGAAACCTCCCCCAAGCCCAGAGCTATCTTATTTTTTAAAAATGGATTGAAACCATATAAACCCCAAGGAAATAAAAAAAAAAAAGAGGTCCCATAGCTCTGAAGATGAAGAAAGTCCTGCCCTCCGATTTCCGATTTCCGATTTCCTTCCGGTGCTTTCTCTATTCCTCCCAGCAGTCAGTGTGGTCTCATACAGAGCCCCTGCAGAGAGCCTCCCCTGGACCCCCCTTTTTCATTCCTGGGAGAGCTAGCTCCCTAACACTTCCACCTGTTTGATAGTTACTCAAGCAGTTCTAGCCTCCACTCTATCCAAACCCCAGACACAGTGCACAGTGCACTTAGGTGTTCAATACCTATTTTTGCAAAGAATAAATGACTCCCTACTTATTTTTTTCAGTAGAGAGCAGAGATTCTCTTGGCTCCTGGGTAAACCAGAACTATGTGAGAATCTTGGCTATGCAGCAGAACAGATTTGTAGCTCGTGACTCAGTGGCTGCCCATTCCCAACAGTCACCACTGGGTGCTTTCATTCATCGCCTTTTAAGTATTCTTCATTAGAGTCTTATGAGAAAACTTTTATTAGCTCCATTTTACAGATTTGAAAACTGAGGTTCAGAGAGGTTTCAGTGACCTGAGTAAACTCTTGCAACAAAGAATCATCAACCCAGACCTGGCAACGTAGCCCCCCACCCCCCTCCCCCGTCTTCACTCTGCCAAACCACTTTTCCTGAAGCTTGGGCTTACATGTACGCCCTTGCAAAGGGCTTGCTTGTCCAGTGGTTCCTGCTGGCTTACAGTCTGGGTTCCTTTTCACCCTGAGGCCACAGAAGGCTGAGGTGGATGCAAGCACAGTGAAAGGAGTGAGAGAGGCCTAGGGTGACAAGGGAAGGGGTGGAAACGTGCCCAGAGCCCTGCCGACCCAGGCCTGTCTCGGCTTTGCAGGTCTGGTTCCAGAACCGTCGGGCCAAGTGGCGTAAGAGGGAGAAGGCTGGCGCGCAGACCCACCCCCCGGGGCTGCCCTTCCCTGGGCCGCTATCAGCTACCCACCCTCTCAGCCCTTACCTGGACGCCAGCCCCTTTCCCCCGCACCACCCGGCGCTAGACTCGGCTTGGACAGCCGCCGCCGCCGCCGCCGCAGCCGCCTTCCCGAGCCTACCTCCGCCTCCGGGCTCCGCCAGCCTGCCGCCCAGTGGGGCGCCGCTGGGCCTGAGCACTTTCCTCGGAGCCGCCGTTTTCCGGCACCCTGCCTTCATCAGCCCAGCGTTTGGCAGGTAACCGCAGCCTCAGGAGGCTGTCTATCTGTCTGTCTCCTATACACGCAGACATTGGGGTCAGAGAGGAGGCAGGATGGGGTTCTACCCATTTTTGACCCAACCTCAGAGACTTTAGTTAAAGAAAATACTCTCTCATTTTGACTTTTGGAAAAAGTAGGTCTTGAAGGGAATGGCTTAGTAAGTAGGAAAGGGGAGGGCAATTGACATAACTATGCCAATCAGGAGCTTTCATGAAAGCTGTAGAGGAGCACCATTAGGCGGTACCTTGGCCACGGTTGGTATAGGTGCATGAAGCAGGGATGACCCATAGTTTTGCAGAAGTCCTTTGGCATGCTGCAAAGCCTGGCGATCTGAAGGATACACTCAGGATCCCCACAGGAGCCCGGGAGCCATGAGGCCCTCTGGGTGCACAGAATTATTTCCTCTTCCCCAGACTCTACCTTCCTTGTCACTCAAATGACCTGATGCCAAGGATACCCCCATATGTGCAACCCTCGACCCCTACAGCGGCACAAGACAATGAAATAAAAGAACCAGTCCATCGTTTATGATAACCCCCTTTCTTTAAATGAACATCGAATGACGAAATTTAAAAAGTCTGTATAATCACACAGACAAAGAAACAAAGGAGGGGTATATTAAGTTGGAAAGTGCAGTGAAAATAAAAGTGATGCAGCTTCAATGATCTCTCTTTGGGAGAACAAAGAAATAATAGATTCATCCAACTGCGCAGCTACTTAACAAAAAAAATTATCCTTGAGAAAATTAAAAATAAGACTTGAAGCAAAATTAATTTCTTGTACTGAACCACTAAAATAAGTAGTGAGTGCCTTAAAGCACAGTTAAGTGAAGTGACTCAGTTTCCCTGATGGAACCAGGGCAAGTTACATTATCGTTTCTTCCTGTAAAGAAGATTAAAGTCTTGGGTCTCCTTCTTGCCACTTTTCCCCCTCTGAAGACTGACTTGTAAAATCAGGCGAACCCTGCTGGAGTACCAGGATTCGAGGTGCTGGGAGGCCAGGAGGGGAGAGGGGAGGTGGGGTTGGCTCAGTGAATGAAGAGAGGGATGGCGTTGAGGAGCAGGCGCTCGGGGAGCCCAGGTGGGCTCATTTCTAATTGTGGAAATTCTGAATTGGCCCCGTGGGGGCCTGGAGCCAGAGCCCTGGGGGAGGCAGCTGGGAAAGCTTGGCGGGCACTAGGAGGCAGTGAAAGTGGAGGTGGGGGGCCTCGGGCGACTTGGGCCTCAGCCTCTCAGCGGTACAGTAGAGAAGGGATGGGAGTAATCTCAGTGCGCGGGAGTAATCCCGGCGCCGCCCGGAGGCGGTGGCGTTGGAGCTGGCACAGGTCGCAGGCTAGGACATCTTTTGAGCTGTGTGAGGGGTTCGCGGGCCTGGGAACTATCTTGGGGGGCGCAGGAAAGTCGGTGGGGACAGTGTCTCGGTGCTGATCTGCAGGGCCGCCAGCGGGTCAGAGTCTCCGGTCTAGCGGAAATCAACAGGCAGGAATCCTTCATCCCACCCCGTGGCATTGGCAGGGCACTGGCAGCTTAAAGGCACGCAGGAGGGTGGCCCAGCTAGCGCAGGCGGACCGGAAGGCCAGCAATCAAGGCCAGCTTTTTCAGGGCAAAAAAGAGGTTCAGGCTGAGGAGGAGTCCCAGTGAATGTTCAAAGTCTGCGTGTAGGTCTCGGGCAGTTTTTATTCTTTCTCCCCTCTTTTCTGCTTTTTCTTTTTCTTCTCTTCCACTTGCTCACTTGCTTTTCTCTTCTCTTTCTTTTTTCCTTCCCCATCCCTTTTGTCTCCTCAGTTCTCTGTCTCCATGCTCCCCTCCCAAACATCCCTTCAGCAGCTGATCTTGGAACACATCTTTTTTGGTTTGTTTGTTTATCTGCTTTTTGTGTTTTTGAGACAAAGTCTCCTTGTAGCCCCAGTTGGCCTGAAACTCGTTATGTAGACCCCACTGACCTCAATCTCACAGAGATCCATCTGCCTCTGCCTCTGCCTCCTGAGTACTGGGATTAAAGGCGTGCGCCACCACAGGCAGCTGGAGCACAGCCTTTTTTTTTTTTTTTTTTTTTTTTTTTAGCATACTCTCAGTTGAGCCTGGAGATTCTCGGGTTTCTTGGCCTGTCTCTGGCTCTAGATTCATCCTCAGGGGACCTAGCTGGAACCTTGATCTTCCTTTTCTCTGTCGTTTCTCTACTGTGGTAAAGCCCTCCAGCCTGCTGCAACCTCCACCTACTACCACCCAGCCTACTCGAGTGTCCCTGCCCTCCACCCTCGCTGTCCTTGTGAGAGGTGGCAGGACACGCTGCCCCAAAGCGCAGCACTCAGCTCCCGAGACCGTGACCGCGATGTTTGCTCTCCCCACAGGCTCTTCTCCACCATGGCCCCCCTGACCAGCGCGTCGACCGCGGCTGCGCTCCTGAGACAGCCCACCCCTGCGGTGGAGGGCGCAGTGGCTTCGGGCGCGCTGGCCGACCCTGCCACGGCGGCCGCAGACAGACGCGCCTCTAGCATAGCGGCGCTGAGGCTCAAGGCCAAGGAGCATGCCGCGCAGCTTACGCAGCTCAACATTCTGCCGGGTACCAGCACAGGCAAGGAGGTGTGCTAAAGGATGCGCTCCACCCTCGCGCCCTCAGCGCGCCCGGAAAGGTCACCTCACTCAGCACCACTCAAGACCAAAAGGAAACAGAGGACCAGCACACTCCCGAGACGGCACTGAGAGAGCACAGCCGCCTTCCCAGCAGCCAGGGCCCAGACAAGGCAGCCCTTGGAGCTGACGTGGCACCCCCTCGGCTGGCTGTCCACCCGCCCCTGTCCCTGTCCCTGTCCCTGCCAACCTCGTTCCAACTCGAACGTCCACTCCCATTCTTACTTTTCTGAGAGTAACCGGGACGATTTCTCCCTAAGACGCCCAGTATTGAAGTTTAAAAAAAGAAATTAAGCCCAACCTTCTCTTCCTCCAGACACCCCAGTAGCTTTTTTTTTTTTTTTTTTTTTTTTTTTTTTTTTGAATAGCATTTTGGCGCTCTAAGTTTATTTCAGCGCGGGCCCGGCATGAAGCCAGGGCCAGAGAAGCGAATGCGGATCTGTAAGATAGCTAACAGTGCACTTAAAGGAAAGGGGCGTCTTGTTCTTGTTCTCTTCTTTATCATACACCAACCAAGGTTTTTATATCAAACCAAAGGGAAATACTCTGCTAGAATATGGACTGTTGAAGTCACCAAACTGTGATTATTGATTCTGTACATACCATTGTTATTAAAAAAAAAAAGAACAGAGCTTTGTATATTTGAAATGTTATAAATGCAATTGCACTCAGCGTGGTATGGTAAAAGTTTGTCCTCCTGTAGATTCTTACTGTGTTGTAGATATGGTAGGGTTCCTAGACAAATATTTATGTACTCAAGCCCTTTATTTAACTTATTAACTGTAGAGGCTTCGGGAAACCTTCAAGATAAAGGCAATGGTACAGTACTTTTGTGTAATGTGTAATTGTTATCACTTTTCCTTGCTATCTAGTGGAGAAGTGTCACGCTCAAAATAAAAAAAAAATATATGTTTAACAAAAGGAAGTGTCAATACTCTGTGTAGGTCCTGAAGGGACACAGTACTAGGGTCTCCCCACATCGGGGCCAAGGGTGGGCTCTCCTGTGGTGGCATCCATCTCCTGGGTTTATCTATTCATGCGTCTTCCAGACAGAGTCCTGCTGCAGTTGGAGTTGAGGATCCTGGGCCAGGGGCTGGTAGGTTGTGTTCCAGGGTAGGTGGGTGAATAGTAGGTGGTTGCTGATGGTGGAATGAGACTTTTGAAGCCAGTGGAGTCCGGGTTAGGAAGGTAAAGGAAGCAGCAGTTCGTGGAAAGTGCCCCTGAGCAATAAAGTATGTAGTCCTAGATGACAAGTAAAGTCTAGAGCTAGGAGCTGAGGCTCTGGGCTTCCGAGGGGGCGGGCTCGCGGAACACTAGTAGGGAGGAGGGAGGAGGGGGGAGAGAGGGGAGGGAGAGAGGGAGAGAAGGAAGGAAGGAGAGTGGGAGGTAGGGGGAGAGGGAAAGAGAGAGAAGAGAGAGAGGGAGG